AGTAAAGATAAATAAAATATTTTCTTGTTGTTAATTATTTAGTGGGGTTCACAATAGAGTTTGATATTTTTGCATACTATGGCTATCAGGATAAGCCTAGTCAGTTAAAGTAATTTTAGGGGAGACATTTTAGTTCTCTCACAATGAGATTAGTAATGCCGATGAGACCGAAGCGACGTCAAAATTGCAATCCACTTTGACTCAGATGGATGAAGACGAAGCTAAGGGAAACTTCTTGGTATCATAAGACTAATCCTTCTGATTGGGAGAAAATTCAACTAGCCCTACTTATATTAGCCTAGACGATCTAGAGCGACATGTTTAGCTTACAATTATTACTAATAATCTCAAAGCTACATATAAAAGATTAGAGTATATATATGTCATTTAATAATTTATAGGAGAGATTTGTTAAGCCTTTGGTCTGAAGTTATTGTAAGAAATGGATGATTATAAACAGTAAACGGATGATCGAATAATGCCTTGCATCTTAGTAAGAAAATCTTTGTCAAATTGAGGATTCAATACATTAACCTAATCATGATCTTAACTTAATTATGAATTGATTTATTTTGAATTGCAGTTTTATTAATTCATTTTTATGCCGATCTCTATCTTGATACAATTTTTATTTTATTCAGAATATAGCTTTTCTCATAGTGGCTAATTCATAATAATACAGCTGTCTTAACCTACTGTTTACGTCTAAATTATAGTACTGTATGATATTTAAATACTCATTCAAATATTAGTTCTTATCTCACATTAATTGGCTTATATTGACTCATTTTATTATCACAAATTGAATTATGATATACAATTTATACACATTTCTCATTTTCTAATGTGTTAAGAAAAAATATTCTACCCTAAAAGACAATTTCAATTTTTGTAAATAAATATGTAAGCAATTAAATCATTATTATAGTAATCACTTTTTATAGTTTGATACAACTTTTTATTTTCTTTTACTGATTTTTTTAAAATGGCAGAAATTGAAATAGAATTAGAAGTTCTGCTTACCTCGCGTTTGGCCTGAACTGCTATGTAGTCTTCATATATCTTTATCGCCTTAACGGCTAGTTTTTTTGGTTGTGTAATAGTTCGAAACTCCTCACATGCTATCCAGAACTCAATGTTCTCATCACTGAACTCGGTGCTCAAAAAGTCCTTGAATAATGCAAGCCCATCTAAATTTTAACGAAGACGAAATGCAACGATTAATTTTAATTTAATGATTAGTGACCCAAAAATAAAAGCATTTGTAAAAAGCAATTGAATAGATCAAAATTTTTTAAAAGTGGTAATAAAACTAAGCATAATTAAAGATCGTGTATATAATATTGATGGAAAGTCTATTACTAAATTTGCTAACAAGGAATATTATAATACTTCGTTTTATCCTATAAGCATTACCAAATTGCTACTGCGCCACTTTAAGCACATAAGCGAGTTTTCAATTATTGTAGGGACGATTATGAGACCTAAGCGAGGTCAAAACTACTGGCCAGAAGATGAAACTTTTTGGAGGCAAGGTTGAAACTGATTTAATTTCATCTTAAGCCTTAAATCTAGATAATTGCTTAGGGCTATTAAAGTTATGATCAGTAATATTACTCAGAAATGTGAACAAGAGTCCTGAGTTCCATTTGGCATTTTTTGAAGTAAGTTTTTTCATCAGATGTAGGAAAAATGTCAAGAGTGTTGATAAGAACAATAAAGCGTTCGTTAATATGGAAAAATTAATTTCAACCTTATTTGTTTGCATAGAGTCTAATCGAATCATATCCTATATTTTATTCTAAATTTTCGCAAATGTCGTTAAATTAATCCTGAAAAAAATGCTTTCCTAAAGGTTTTTCATTCGTTGAGGTGTATTGACTAGTAATGAATATTTAGAAAAGTAGGGGCTTGTCTACCTCCGAAAAACTAGAAAATTTAGCATTTTTCTATTAAAAATTTTTATAAGGGTTCTTTAGCGACGTATAAATGATTTTTATTTTCACTTAAGATACCAAACTATATGCAACTATGAGATGAGGAAAAATAAACATGACCACATTATATATATATATATATATATATATATAATGTGTTCATGTTTATTTTTCATCACTATAAATATATATATATATATATATATAGCTTATCTTACTATTATAACTATTTTTGCACTTAAAAAATGACGTACTGATAAAATTCTTGAGCCAAATAATAAATTTAAGCCACAGAGATGCTTAAAGATTAATGTGGATAAGTGCAAAGCAAACAATTCTAAGTATGGGGCTGCTGAATAAGCTAGTTGATATTGCATAAATTAAATATTCTTTACTATGCTAACAAAAGTGATATTACACAGGAAACAATAAGATCCGTATATATTATATAGCTGCTTTATTTAGCCTCATTTAGTTTACTAAATATGGAATCTTGAAAGGTCAACCGCAAATGATTCTAAAAACGTTTAAAATTAATAAAATCCAACGTAAGTTTTGGTTATATAGGTCTGAGTGTAAAATCGACAGAATTCACGAACTACTTTAAGAAAACACAATATCAGAGCATGGTAATATAAAAAA